ATCCTTATTAGATTTTTCATATTCCGCCTCAAATCAATTAATCAGGCACCTCTTTCGCTAGATGCCTTTCGAAATAGTCCTTAAGCAGGTCTTTAAAGCCCTTAAAGTTTAAGATAAGGTAATAGGTCAGGTCCTCTGGCTAGCCTACCCATCTTGCTCATACCTTTCATGCTTTGCCCACTCTTTTGACGTCAACTATATCTTTGACCTCTTACGCCTCCTCTTCTTCTGTCTCTACTAGCAGAGGCTGTGGGTACTCCTGCCCTAGCAGAGGGTCAGCAGGGTCCTTAGTCAGTAATGATACATAAAACATGTTATAAATCCTTATCAACAAGGGCAGTTCTAAACAAAAACTCTGCCTAAGCCTCTTCATAATAGGGAATAGCCTAATCTATTTCGAATCAAGTTTCTTATAAGGTCTTGTTATGCTAATGTTTTTTATTAATAACCAGACCTTATCTCCTTCTTTGAAATCAATTTCCTAGTAATGCTTATTCGCCTGCTTTTGTTGCTGCAATTACGTAGCCTTTAGATACTCTTATACTTACTTCTAACCCTTTTCTATTAGCCTTACTAGGTTCTTAGCCTTCTTTAAGACTACATATTTTCTTATTATCTCTGTAGACTTAGGCTTGTTAAAGCTTATCCTTAGCTAATATCTGCATATAATTATAAATAATAATAGCTATATAGACTCAGATACTGCTATATTTGTAACAAATTTAGTACTTAGGAGAAAATTATTCTAATTGTCCTATATAAAATCTATATAGGCCCTTAAGTATTATTTTATCTCTGTATTAAAGACTTCTATCTAACTATTTATTTATAAATAATAAGCTATAAATAGCTTCGCTTTAATTCCTAAGATTTAGTACTATTATTTCTATACTTTGCTAACAAACTATAGCCCTTAGTTAGATATAATTATCTAAGGAAGCCTATAGAGCTTTTATACATTTCTATATAGCATCTTAGCTGTTTCCTCTGAAGTTGTGCCCTTCTTTATAGCTATATAAGAGATATAATAGTGTTTCTTACTTAACTAATTAATAACTACTAAAATAACATTATAGCCTTCTAATATTAGTAATCCTGTAACGAAATTTATTAAGATATCCTACTAAAGGCGCTTAAGAATCAAAAAAGATTACAACAAGCCTGTAAAAAGCTAATATATAAGTTTAGTCCTCCTGCAGACATAACAATTCTGTAAGAATCTCCTGACTAACGTGTATCTATTTAAGATATAGTACTTACTATTTGTAATAGCCTTCCTTGTCTTTATATAGCTTGAGTACCTAGTCTCCTTACTCTTATAGATCTCTTAAATCACATCTATTACTATTGCTATTAATACTGTCAGTTTTTCTTTATATTATAATACTCCTTTCTTATCTTTATAATTTTAAATATTGTACCTAAATATTTTCTTTTTTAAGTTCTTTATTCGTTTCTTTATCCTAATCATGTTGAACGTCTTGTCAACCTGATTCTCTTTCTTTACTCTCTTCTAAAGTGGCAAATCTTTCTCCTTTAGCAACGCCTGTATTACTAAGATCTTCAGGTCGTCTTTTACCTCCTCAGATAACATGTCTGATTACAGAAGGGTCTAATACAGATTAGGATCCTCCTTTGCTCTTAGGATCTTAGTTTCTCTTTAAGTTAATACGTTAGCTTTTCTGTTAGCAGCTCTTAAGCAATATCTAATCTTAAAGTTGTATTAAAATAATAATTCCGCCTAGCGTGCTTACTAATATATTAGCTTCTTTGTTAACATAAAATACTCTAAAGCCTTATAATCTATAAGTATTTAGACAAGATCCTCTTTTAGCAAGCGTAACTCTAGCGACTATTCCTTAAAATAATAAATAATAATTAGTAGTTCCTTATTATAAATTACGTAATTACGCTCTGCTAGTACTATACTTATTAAGAAGAATGCTACAGAATAAAGTTCTTTATCCTCCCCTTATTATAAGAGTACTTTACTAACTATATAGTCGCTTGCGTTATACTCTATAACTGTCTTCTTCTCAGGATCGAAATAAGCGAGGACTAGCTCCTTTGAAACAAGGTCCTTTAGGACCTAGAACGCCTCAGTATAGCAGTCATCCTAAGTGCGCCTTGTATCCTTCTTTAATAGGTTATTTAGCAGTCTTATTACCTTGCTAAATCCTAAGTAGAATTATTAATAAAAGTTAATAAACCCTAGGAATCTCTGTATTACGTAGACATCTCCTAGGTTAGGTTTCTCTTACTCTTAAATGACTTATACATGCTCTAGATCCATCTAAATGCCTTCTAGAGTTATAATTAACCCGAGATACTTTACTAACTAGCAGTCATCCTAAGTGCGCCTTGTATCCTTCTTTAATAGGTTATTTAGCAGTCTTATTACCTTGCTAAATCCTAAGTAGAATTATTAATAAAAGTTAATAAACCCTAGGAATCTCTGTATTACGTAGACATCTCCTAGGTTAGGTTTCTCTTACTCTTAAATGACTTATACATGCTCTAGATCCATCTAAATGCCTTCTAGAGTTATAATTAACCCGAGATACTTTACTAACTACGTATAGAACTCGCTTTTCTTAATGTTAGCCTAAATATTACTTTCGCAGAGAATCTGTAAGACCTCTTATACATATTGCTTATATTCTTTTCTTAATTAGCTAAAGATCAAAATATTATCTAAGTATAATATAATAAATTTTCTAAGTACCTTTATAAATTTCTTATTTATAAAGCGTTAGAATATTGCTAGTGCAGAGATTAATCTAAATAGTAGTACCCTATATTAGTAGTTATTATATATAGTACTAAATATAATAAGTTCGCAGTCCTTCTTAGTTACTAAACAAATCTAGTAATATGCCTGTTAAATATCTAGCTTAAAAAAGACTATAGCTTTTTTAAGAAGACTTATAGTCTTATTAATCTAAGGAATAACATAACTATTCTTCTTTATAATAGTGTTTAGATCCTTAAAATTAACACAGAAACAGAGTCCCTCTTAGGGTTTCTGTATTAAAAGAATTAGTGATATAAATAAGGCAGTACTTAGTTTAATAAACCCCTTCTTAAGATGCTCCTTAATATATTTCTTAATTACTTTAAGCTTATCTAGGCTTATCTTACGTAAGGGCTGTATTCAGGGCAGTTCAGCACCTGCTTCTAGTTCGATCTTGTAGTTATACTCCTCCTTATGCTCTAAAAGAGTATTAGAAATCTCCTTTAAGAAGACATCTGCGAATTCTTAAAATTCTATTAAAAGAACCTCCTTTAGATCTAGTTTTAGCTAGATCTGTTTCTTAATATATTTATTTATGTTCTTTATTATAATAATAAATATTTCTATACTAAAGATAATTAATAATCGCTTAAATATTATAATGCTTACAGGCTCAGTGCTATACTAGGCTGCCCTAGCCTCCTTAACCTTCCTTCTATAAATAATAGCTATAGTTGTCCTACTACTTAGAGTCTTCTTTATCTTAATAGGGCATAAAGGTCGTAAAATAGCCGGGGCTATTTTAGGACGCTTAAGAATCTTTGTTACTTGTAATAATAATGCCCTAATTAGGTTAGCCTAAAATTTGGCTATATATATATAGCTAAATTTGTTATGTGGCTTCTTTATTAACTCTTTCTCTGCTGCTTGCTCCTTAGCCTTAGGCTTGTTACTCTAACTCTTATAGTTCTGCTAAAATATAAGTTACTCTTTATAATTATAATCCCTTATAAACTTTACTAACAAATCCCTAGGATCTAGAATATAGCTGTGTAGCCTTATCTACTTCTTCCCTAAGATTATAAAGTATATAGCCTTTGTTATATAGAAGATCTATAATCTCTGCTAATGTTTACTAATATATATAGGCAAATAAAGAGCCTAAGAGATAAATTAATAGATCTTATTAATAAAATCAGAAATAAGAATAGGTTTAGCTAGGTCTATTATATTAATTTGCAACTTTTTATAAAGTTGTTCTGCTAATTAATAATCTATAATTATGCTTAACTAACATTTTATATCTAATAATACTAATATTATTAATCTTTCTTTCCCTTTCTTAACACTAATATTAATCAGAAATAGAGCCTTAAAATCACTCTCTATTACTACAACAGAGATCTTTATAGCTTCTTTATTAGTTGCGCTATTAGGCCTGCTTATAACGTCTTAATAATAGGCAGCTCTTTTCCTGATTACTCTTATGCTTAAGAGTAATCCTTTATATAGTGTCCTAGTTTCTTATAATAGTAGCACCTTACTATAGATACATCTCTTGAAAGTTATAGCTTAGCTACTAGCCTCTCCTTCTTTATTATTAATTCGTTAGCAAATTAATAAGTACTAAAAATCGAAGGTTTTGCTAATATGCTAGCGCTAGCTGCTAGTTTATTTAATACGATATATTAATTATTTATGTTAGTATACGTCAAATTAGTAATTATCTCCTAAATTAATATATATCTGTAAAGAATAATTACTTGCTTTAGATTATCTTAAACCTTATCTCGAAGGTCTATAATCTAGTCCTTTTCTTAGACTTCTGCTTTACAAAAAAGTCGTTAGAAGTCCCTTAGAAAGGCAGTAAGGTCTTGTTGCCTTTGCTATAGATAATAGTACTCTTAACAAGCGGTCTCTTACTAAAATAGGGAGTCAAAGCGATTCGCTATATCTGTAAAGATATCTGAAATCTAGGCCCTTTCAAAGTCTTTGAAGTAGGACCTAAGCAATTTATAAGCGTCACCGCTAGTACGTGACTGCATATAGGTGATCTTAGACAGTTCCGTTAGAAAAAGCGCTATATTAATCATAAACTTTATCTTTATAGCTAACAACTAGAAGCAGAACTTCTGAGGAGGCCCGTGCTTAAATACCTCTAGGTAAGGCAACTTCTTTGTCTTTGTACTAAGCACTGTCGCAGGGCTTAGAGTCGCTTCTAACGAGACTTGCCCTTAAGGCGGCGATTCTCGTTCTGTCCGACAATATGCCGCGCCTCGAGGACGCCGAGATTTTCACGCACCTGTGGTGGGACCCTTCAGACGACAGAGAAGTGGAGGAATATGGTCTGCCGATGAGAAAGGGCCACAGATGGGGTGTCAAGTTCATTGCTGGGCGTGGTAGTAAGAAGCAGGAGGACGGCGATGCTGCTGCCGCGGCACCAACACCACCGGTGGTGCAGTGGCAGGTTGGCGACTGGAGACCCAGCGAGGAGGTCATGAGTTTGTTCGAAAGCCTAGGACGGCAGGAGTGGCTCGATCTCGAGTGGGACAGGTATAGATCTACGGCGGGGCACGACTTGCTGGGAAACAGCGAGTCTACACCCATATAGTCGGGCGGGCAAGCAGAATCCTTTGTTGGGGATTTCGAGAACAAGTGGTCTGATACCTTTTTAGAAATGGCTGGTTGAATATGCGATCGCAGCAGCTGGGGAGGGTGGGAACGTATGCTCATCATCATCGAGGAAGCATCCCGAAGAATATGTAGCCATGCACAGATTCATATACTCCAACGCCAGCGGGTGAGGCCTGTATATGCGTGGGCCACGCCATAGGCTACAGAGCATTCATAGTTCCTAATCCGGCCTCCTGCTGTATAGTGAAGTTTAGGCTTCCCTAATCAGGTAAGGCGAACCTCTCTATTCGTAATCCGTCCGGATAGCTCACACGCTTTAACAAGCGCCCCACGGCAAGAGTTTGCTTGCTGCCGCGAGTCAGTCATAGGCGTTGCCTCCTGAGTATATGGCTGGCACATGCATTTCCTGTGCCATGGCAGAGGAAATGCATCATTCATCACACTCTTTTGATTAAGAGGCTAGGATAAAGCTTCTTGTTCTTAATCTTAATATTCCTAGCTAAGAGGTTAAGGTTATATTCTTCTTTTCTAGTAGTACTAATACTATAAATAAGTATAGTAAAGAGTTAGACATAAACCTTAGCTAATAAGTAAATCTTATTAGTCTAATTAAGGTTTAATTATAGGCGTGTTTTAGCTAAGGCATCTTTGGCCTAAAGTACAAGATTACTGCTTAGCAGCTTTTTAATTATAACTATATTAGGGGTATTAGTAGAGTCGTTTCCTTTTATCTGTAGCCTTTCTATAATCTGTCTAGAAGAAAAGGGTTTAAGTAAGTAAGCATCTTTTAAGGAGACCTTAACTAGGATTTGGTTGTCAGTGTAAGAAGATTCTGATTAGGCAGGCACACAAGGGACGGCAGCGCCTGTGAGACCGGTACAGGTTGCCCGTGCGTAGCTTACAGGGCCGGGGGTAACTTTCTGGTCGATGCCTGAGATGAGGGCTTCGATTTTCTCTAGTCTAGTCTCGACTAGGGATGGATCATGTAGGGCCGTACAAAGGTACGCGCGGACAGCTGGGAGAAAAGGGGTAAGGAGAGAGAGTAATGGATTGTCGGGTGGCAGAGAGAGGAGGAAGGGCAAAGATTCGAGTTTTTCGATTGTGTTGAGAAGGCTGGCCCTTTGCGTTCTGTCGTTAGAGAGAGCGGGAGAGGAGTGGAGAGGAGTGGAGGGCTGCAGGATTTGGGTAGGTTGCTTATTAACGGAGGGCAGGCGATTCGCTTGCGAAGAGGGCGCGCTTTGGGTGAGCGGTAGGTCGGGCATTGGATTTTTATGAATTTTATTTATTATAAGCTAATCTAACTAACATTAAAAAAAAAAGCTACTAACTTACTAGACGACCTCAGCCTGATGTAGAAAAGACACACGAAAGACAAACAAAAGATGAGACTGAATATGTGAGTGTAGTTGTATTAATCTAACATGCCCTGAGGGCGTCGAAAGGCATCTACTCTACTAGCTATCTTTGCAGGCCATGCTAGCCCTGCCATGCGGTGCATGACAGGCGCATAATAATACCTAGGAGGTTGTAACTGTGCAGAAACTCAGCTAGAAAGAAAATCTGCAGCTGGGTTTTATATTGGTAATAAGAATGCACACTCGCCAAATTTACTACGCTGGGATGGAAGCGAACAGGCGGACCCCCCGGGTATATAATGGCCGTTCCCGCTCCCCTCCACTCCACGTCCCCCTCCACTTCCCCCACCCTCACCAAGCAAAGAACCACCTCCCCCACTGATCCATCACATTATATCAATCAACATGCCGCTTCGCGAGACCGACCCAGATTTCGAGAGTGAGCTCTTCGAAAAGGTCAAGGCAGCGTTAAACGCAAAGTTCGGGGTTTCCGAATATGATCTCCCGCTGCCGCTCCTCCTCGTCGATGAATATGCGGAGAAGCCACTGCCGTGCCATGAACCTGCCGAGGAGACCATCGCCATCAGCGCCCACATATCGGTGCGCATCCGTGCCTTTTACGAGCAGATTGCCGCCGCCTATAACGGGATGGAGGATCCGCCAGCCAGCATCGGCATCAAGCTCGAAATCCAGCCGCAGAACTTTGACCCAGCGGAGCCAGCATGCCACCATCGCAGGTATCACTCGCGCCGCCTGCAGCTGCACGACCCCGAGACACTGCCAGATCTGCCTTTTGTGAGCAGCCTGGCCATCAGGTCAAGGTCGTACGGCTCTGACGCCGAAAACGCGACAGACATACGCCCTCTGTCGCCCCTCGTGCCGCTGCAGTGCCTCGTCCACCTGCCGGCTGTCCAAGAGTGGAATGCCCCCTGGTTGTGGGAGCGGCCCATGCCCGCCTGCATGCCGAGTAGGGTGATGCGCGAGCACTACACCTGGCCGTGGGAGGGCCCCCTGCGAGACGCCCGCCACGAGTTCGGCGCCGCCATCATGGACCAGGAGAAGCACCTCTGCGGGAAAGGAATCCCCGCCAGTCTGACCAGGGCCGCACTGCACTTCTGGCCTTTCTTCTCGTGCCCCAGGCATGACCAGTCCGTGGCCCGACCGAACCTGATCCATCCCGCGGATAAAGACCCGGTGTCTGTCGGCCTGTGCAAGCTCGGTGCGCAGCTAAGCCTGTTCGACGTGCGTGCTGTGGTCACTTCAGACCTGTTCCCCAGTCCCGAGGCATCAATCGACCAGCAGTGGTCACAGATGCGGCGATTCCGGCTCGAGTTCCATTCCCTCCGTCCAGACGGGCGGTGGTACTTTGTCGGCCCCGGTGGCGAGGATCCGCACGACTCTGAACAAGGAGGGTACAAGATCTCAGACACAGAACACTACCCCCGCGAAACCGACACGGAGGAGGACATGGACCTCGACGCCGAGTACGGCGACAACCCGGACGACGAGTACGATCACGATCTAGACATGTTCCGCACCGAGCCCTGCAGGGAGCGGATCGAGCCCCTGCTTGCGGCGTTTGCGAAGTCTCTGACTCGCGACAATATGCCGCGCCTCGAGGACGCCGAGATTTTCACGCACCTGTGGTGGGACCCTTCAGACGACAGAGAAGTGGAGGAATATGGTCTGCCGATGAGAAAGGGCCACAGATGGGGTGTCAAGTTCATTGCTGGGCGTGGTAGTAAGAAGCAGGAGGACGGCGATGCTGCTGCCGCGGCACCAACACCACCGGTGGTGCAGTGGCAGGTTGGCGACTGGAGACCCAGCGAGGAGGTCATGAGTTTGTTCGAAAGCCTAGGACGGCAGGAGTGGCTCGATCTCGAGTGGGACAGGTATAGATCTACGGCGGGGCACGACTTGCTGGGAAACAGCGAGTCTACACCCATATAGTCGGGCGGGCAAGCAGAATCCTTTGTTGGGGATTTCGAGAACAAGTGGTCTGATACCTTTTTAGAAATGGCTGGTTGAATATGCGATCGCAGCAGCTGGGGAGGGTGGGAACGTATGCTCATCATCATCGAGGAAGCATCCCGAAGAATTCCGCATATGGTCATCTCAGCAGATGCTCAAGATGAACAGTATCAGTTGGGAGGTGGCAGCGAAAAGAATACAAGTCAAGTTTGCGCCACAAGTTTGTACCAAGACGGATTTGTCCTGGGATTCATGTAAGGTGGGCAAAAGTTGCGCTGTGCAGACAATTGCTTGTTATTCAACCACGCGGGCCCTTCTTAAGCGACTTTAGATGGACAGACTAAAAGTTTTATGCACGAGGGGCACAGCAACCAAGTGCTTCTGCGTGTCATTGAAATTGATGACTCTTCATTCATTCATTCATTTAATCGTCCTTGGTAGAATGACCTGCGAACATAGGCAGTAAACATCCCAACCACAAGCGATATCCTTGCTCGTTGAGATGAACATGATCTTCGAGAAGACTGTCCTTTTCCGCACTAATTTCCAATGCCTGCACAAAAGAAAAGCGAGGAACCAATTCTTCTGTCCCGCGAGTGATATCTTCGTCTTGGACGACGACGTCGTTGAGAACGATGATGCTGACGATGATACGATGATATGGTCTCCAGCACAAGTGGCAAGACTTGCACTTTCGCGTCGGACAGCCCGGGCTTTGGGTGCAGGTCATTCGTCCCGGCGTGTATGAATCACAGCTTGATGTCATGTTGGAATGGCTGCAGCGTGTCCCAAAGCCCTGACAACTGCCGCTCCTCGTCGCCATGCAGACAGTTACAGGACATCTTCGTACTTGTCGCCACCGACACCAGCGTGGAATACACCTTCTAGTCTTTCTTTGTGCAACACAGTAGACTCGAGGAGGTAGGCATCGCTGAGTATGGAGGCCGCTGGCCAGGTTCTCAAGCTTGCGCTCTTACAGGTCGCCTGCATGCGCTCTATCATCGAGTCGCCTAGGAGCACGATCGGGGATCCTCTTCCTTCCGCTTTGGTATATGATCATTCTGACATGTCGTGAATGACCATTCTTTGAACTTTGAGTATTTCTGTAGCAGTATTTGTTGTGAATCGGGAGGTGGTGGTGGTGAAGAAGCGTTGGCCGATGACCGAAGCAAGCGTCCATCGAGATCATGGCTGTGCCAGTAGCGAGGCGGTATACAGAAATGGCCTCCTGGGGAGCCAGGCGGTCAATGCTACAGCTGCAGCAAGCACAGTCCTTCCTCAATCACCACAGACGTCGCCCGGATTGCCCGAACAACAGCCTCCACCACTGCCAACAAACCCATCAAATCAGAAAAGTCCAAAGTCCAGCTCTTTTCGAGACCAAAGAAGACAGTAGTGCAATGAATATCTAGAACTACGCACGCAACCCCCAGACTAAGGTAAATAGGACCAAAAGTTCAATCAGCACAGGCTAATCCATACGCTCTCCAACTGCTGCTGCTAGTGGAAGTCCAACAAGGAGAAAAGGAATGAAACCGAAATATGATGAAAGGGTATATAAACGCTGTCTGCAGGGGCAACAAGGAAAAGAAAAATTCCTAGCGGATTGGGAATAGAGGACATTGCTAACAGAGGGATGTTATCTCCCTAGTCCGGGTTTAAGGAGTTGATTGATTGATTGATTTCTTCATACCCGTATCCAGGCCTCAAAAGACCTATGCGGGGACTATTTTAACTAACTAAATAGCGTGCTAGGCGCCCTTTCGCCTTCGCCGTCTTCCGACCTCGCCGCCCCCATTTCCCTGTGCTAGTCTCATTCGGGTAACTTCCGCTTATAACGCAGGCACGTTATAGCTGTGATCACCCCTCCTGTCGCTTGCGATTGGTGAGGAGATTGTTGTTGATGGTTGGTCCCTATCTTAAGCAAATTTGGCCTCTCTATCCTTCTAAGATCCCTCAAGCCCTCTGGTCGATCTCCTGGTTCAAGGAGTTTGTCGTTTGGACATTTAGCAGAAAGAGGCTAGTGCATCGGTCACTTTTGATAGTACTCACTACCCTAGAGACACTTTTGAGACAAGTCTTTCCACGCGCCATTAAAATCATTTACTTTACACTACTCTCTCTTCTTAGCCCGAAGAATGTCTATTCTGGAAAATACATCCTTGACGACAATATTGACGACAATATCCTTACATATGGTAGGGTATCCTTAACCCCCCTACCTAAGCCTCCGCAAAACTATAGATTCCCCACCTCCACGTAGCAATCAAATCATATAACAGATCCCTAATAGTTATTTCTAGCTAGAAACGCCAACACAGTACGCCTGGCCAAGCCAGAAGTTTGTCACGCAATCCCTCGAGACGGCCGGGTTCCAGCTATAAAACTGATCAAGTGTGATGCCGTTGTCACTGGCTATGGACGCGCAGCCGTCGCCGCTCTCCACAACATCCCACTTGTTACACTCAGCCGGCTGGCCGGTATGCGTCGGCGCGGGCGCCGTCGGCTTCGCTGTCGTTGGTTGCGACGACGTCGTAGTAGGGGTACCCCCGACACTAGATCGGCCGACGCAGTATGCCTGCCCCAGCCAAAAATTTGTCACGCAGTCCTGGGATACCGCCGGGTTCCAAGCATAGAACTGGTCCACGGTAATACCGTTGTCCGTGGCCATGGACCCGCAGCTGTCGCCGCTTACCACGACGTCCCACTTGTTGCAGTCGGCAGGTTGGCCGGTGTGCGTGGGAGCCGGGGCGGTAGGCTTGGTCGTCGTCGACGCTGTGGTCGAAGCAGACTGCGAGGCCGTGATGCTGATGCCCTGGCCCTCCCTGTGCGTGCAGTACGCCTGTCCGAGCCAGAAGTTCTCGGTACAGTCGTCGCTGACGGCGGGGTTCCACTCGAGGAACGTCGCAAGGGAAATTCCGGCGTTGTCGGCGACGGACTGGCACGAGTCACTGCTGGACACGACGTGCCAGCCGTCACAATCTTCCGGCTGGCCCTCGTGCGTGGCCGCTGGCGGCTGGGGCCCGGTCCCGGTCCCGGTGGGCTCGGGCTCCTCGGTGGTGGTTTGTATGGGTGGCAGACCCCAGGAGCCGCAGTACCGCAGGCCGACCTGGAACACGCATGCCGGGTCCATGACGTTTGTCGTGAGCGAGTTCCAGGCGACGAAGCTGTCAAAGTCGACGTTGTAGTTGGACGCTGCAATCTCGCAGTTGCTGTTCCAGTAGCCGAACACGTCAGGCGAGTACTGGTACTCATCGCCCTTGAAGTAGAAGGAGCAGTCGTCGCGGACGCCGGTGGCCAACGGGAGCTGGGTCGGTCTTGGATCCAGGGTCATGGTGGCGTTGGGCAACATGGTGAAGGGGACGCCGGTAAAAAACTCGTTGGGGTCAATGGTGACGGAGACATCTCCGGGACGGCCGGGATAGTTGTTGATGTCACCGACCGCCTTGATACAGTAGCTCTCCTTGGCAAAGAGGTTGGTGCAGTTGGAGTTGATGCCTGTGTTGAGGAACATGAAGTCATCAAGAGAAATGGCAAACTTGAGAGTCACCAGGTTGCAGTAGTCGCCGGCCTCGACCTCGTACCAGCGGCCGCAGGGCTTGTCAGATCCAATGGCAGTATTGGAGGGGATCGGAGCAGCAGTGGTAGGCGTCACCGGAGGAACATCCGTCGTCTGGGCGGGTGGCAGCTTGGGTCCGGGTGGTTCGATGCAAAGCGTGGTGCCGTTCATCATGTCGAGGTTGGAACAGACCGGGTTGATGACAGGATTCCAAGCCAGCAGCTGTGGCTCTGTGATGTTCGCAGCCGTAGCGATGGCTTTGCACGTCGTGTTGACTGCTACCGTGACAGTTTTGCACGTGTTGGTGATGCAGAGACTACCCGAAGTTGGGAACTCGTAACAATAAGCACCGAGGTGGTTGTCAGACAGCATCCAGGCTGTACCGACACTCTGAGCCTTAGAGATGCTATAGCAATCATCACCGCCCTGGATCTGGTACATGGTGCCGGTGCAGACTGACTCGGTGGGCTCCGGCTGGCTGGTGAAATAGTCGATGGTAGATGTGGTAGCAGGCTTGCCCGTGATGCCACAGCTGGACGTCAGGGTTTGGTAGATGGACTCGCTGGCCACGACGGGGCCGTCAAAGTAGGGCGACCCAGATCGCAGGCGCAGTCTGGCTGCGAGACACGGGTCACAATCCGCGGGCTTAACGGCGCCCTCGGGAAGTTCGTTGATGTAGTTGAAGACGGAAACTGGCAAGCTGTTAGTGAAAATGTGCTAGCAAGTCCGAAATTGGGCCATCACATCATGTCGAAGCTCGTTCGCGGAGCGGGAGACTCACCTCCAGGATTGGTGAAGAAAGCTGTCAATGCCGCAACGGGGCCGCAGAAGACATCGTTCTCCTTGAGACACGTGAAGCTGTAGATGTACCGGCGGCTGGCCGGGATCACAATGGGTGATGCGTCAAGGTCATCCTCGGCAGGAATGACAATGTCGTTGCCACAGGCAGACCGGACCGAGCTCTCCCACGACTGGAGCGCAGAAGCGCAGCCAGCGGTACACATGCGGGTCAGCGTGGCAGGAGGGTAGTAGAAGTCATGGCGGAGGGCCGGCACGAGACGATCGCAAGCGATATCGGCCATGAGGGCCGCAGAACATGCCGCATCGAGATCCTCGGGAAGGCTGTCGTCGTAGAGCATCTTGACGGCGGAGACCGGGCTGGGGCTCAGGCTCAGGCTCAGAAGAGCCCCGAGCCCAAGGACACAACGCCATAAGGCCACCATGATTTGATGGTTCGTATTTTCCTGCCTCTCTCACCAGGAGTTAAAAGAATGAACAGTGAGTGGATGAGACTAGCACATCCAAACAAGGGAGGAAGGGAGTGTTGTGTCTCCCCAGACACAAGGAGTAACAGGCGACCGCAAGAGTGATAAGTAAGTCAGAAAGTGTCAATGACTCCAGAGCAACGGAGGTGCAGAACAGTTGCCCAGGTCCGATGGGAAATTTGGTCCAAGGGAGTGCAGCCGATCCAACTTGTCGTCGTCCCGTCCGAGATGAGACGGGGACACAACCGCCCGATGCAAGAGAAAGGGTCACAAGAGCCCGGTTTCAACATGTCAAGGACCATCAGTCCAGGCCCCGAGAGCATCCTAGGATACTCTAGGATATTCTAGGGTAGCAGAAGTATCTAGGTACCATAGGCTATTGTCAACCTGCTGTGCAGAGTGCGTAGAAAAGCAAGTTGATTGATAGCTACAGGGGTAGAGAGCGTAATCTATGTATAATTGGCTGTACTGTACAGCGAAATTAGAAGCGAAATTGCGTTAGAGATTGACCAATTAGAAGCAGTAGAAATGTAAGGATTATATATATTGAACACGGTTAATTACTTAGCCCTCTCAGAAGGTTAACACTATACAATCCACTAGCACCTGCCTAAAATGGAAAAGATTCTGGTGATTAAATGAGATTATTATGCACTGCAACTCTGACCTGTGGATGCTGTTAATACGTGCTGAATGTCCCGCTTCTGTGTATAGGGTGCAACTGGGCAGTACCTTGCGTTAGCTCAGTCTCCCCTTTTAACCTTAATGTAACCATGGAAGGGGTGGCGTATCCGTACAGAAGCTCGTTCACAATGACCTGACTAATTGAGGGAGATGTCCAGAACACCATCTAAGCCCTCTTGTCAGACGACACTCTCCGCGCTACTCTCTCTCTCTCTTTCTGGTCGGCTTCCCTTTAAAGATATCTGGGCTAGCTGACTTTGTTTGTTGCCTTTGCAAATGCTCTTTTTTTCCTTTCTGTTGACCTTCTGAGAGGGCCAATTGGCCGCATTTCATATGTATAATCCCTACGTTTCTACTGCTTCTAATTGGTCGATTCCTAACGCAATTTCGCTTTTAATTTCGCTGTATAGCACAGCCAATTGTATATAGACCTACTCTCTCTACCCCCGTAGCTATCAATCAACTTGCTTCTCTACGCACTCTGCACAGCAGGTTGACACTTTCCTTCTCAACTCTCCAACCCCCCTTCCCTCTCTCATTGGGGACCACATTCCTTTGATTATCATTTTTTTGTTACTGGGTAGAGCCCCCAAAACTTCAGCCCTAAACGCAACTATGGGACCATGGTCTCAGCTCCTATGGAGCTGTGTGCTTCTATCTACTTTCATTACCCCGTCTCTTGGAGCAGTCATCACAGCAAGGCCTGGTAGCGCCAGCGTGGCTGTGGTGCCCGAACTCCCTGGCGCGTGCCGCGCCGTCATCTTGTAAGTAAACTTCCCTCAGCCATGTCCCACAACCTGGACCAGTAGAGCTCATTTTGCTGACTCGCCATGAAAACATTCCAGACCCTTTGATTACTCGGCCAAGAACCGTCGTGACCATGAGCTGCCAGTCTGCAGTGCTGACGGCCCCGGTCTTGTCGCTGCTCGCGACAACAGCGGTGTCGTTGACGCTGACGGGCGCGAAATCGTCCCTGCGTCACTCGAGACTGGCGTGTCCCTGGTAGGACGCACCGAGCTGTCTTCCCTGTTTGGGAGACAGGTAGTCGGCGGCGACGACTATACCTGCGGTCCCGACCGCCCTTGCAAGAACAAGGCCTGCTGTCCCAAGGAGACTGGCCAGTGCAACTACGGCGAGGAGTAGGTCCCTCTTCCCCCCTTTTGCCAGTCGCGTGGCTCGTTGAATCATGTCTTTTCTTGCGCTTGTTGCTGTTGTTGTTGTTGTTGTTATTGTTGTTGCTATTGTTCTGGAATAGGGCTAATATTTTCTTCCCTCCCTATAATAGAGCGTGCGGCACATCTGGAATCTCTCCCAATGAGGTGTGCTGGTCCAACTGCGATGCCAAGGCAGAGTGCGGCAAGAACGCAGCTGTCCCCGGCCAGGAGTGTCTCCTGAATGTCTGCTGTGGCAAGTGGGGTTTCTGCGGAATGACAGAGTATGTACAGGTCCAAAGTATAAAGATGCCGGCGGAGCAGACCAGTGTTGACGATTGTGAAAAATAGCGACTTCTGTGACAAGGAGGACCATGGAGCCACTGGCGGTTGCCAGTCCAACTGCGATCAGCCAGGTCCCAAGGACAAGGCTTCCGAGCAGCTCAACCGTGTCATTGGATACTACGAGGCATGGAGACACGACTCCAAATGTCAGGATATGGTAAGTATACTCTACTCCCTAGCAAACGTCTATGTCCCACTGACCGTGAGATAGGGCTTGGACGACATCCCCGTTAACTCCCTGACTCATCTGTATTTCTCTTTTGCCTTTATCATGCCGGACTTTCAGATCGTCGGCATGGACAACCTGCCCGATAAGCTGTTTACAGACTTCACCAACCTCAAGAAGAAGAACCCTGCCCTCAAGATGGTTATTGCCATTGGTGGATGGACGCACAACGACCCGGGCCCTTTGCAAAAGGTGTTTAGCAACATGGTCAGTACCAAAGCGAACCGGTCCAAGTTCATCGGCAACCTCATGTCCTTCCTCCGCATGTACGCCTTTGACGGTGTCGACTTTGACTGGGAGTACCCTGGCGCGGACGATCGCGGTGGTGTCCCCGAGGACGGCGAGAACTTCACCCAGTTCCTTAAGGAGCTCGACGAGGAGAACAAGAAGCAGCCCGTCAAGTACATTGTGTCCTACACAGCGCCGACGAGCTTCTGGTATCTGCGCCACTTTGATCTCAAGTCAATTGATTATACCGACTTTGTCAACGTCATGTCATATGAGTAAGTGATTTTTCTTCTTCTTTTCTTTGTCTCCTGTAGACACCCTGACAGCCACCTCCCTCGCACCTCGACTAATCACATGTATAGTCTTCACGGTGTCTGGGATCGTGATAACCCGATTGGGTCTCACATCTACGGCCACACCAACTTGACTGAGATGAGCCTGGCGTTTGACCTCTTCTGGAGAAACGACGTCCCGGCCAAGAAGCTGAACATGGGTCTCGGTTTCTACGGTCGCGCGTTCCAGCTGGCCGATCCGTCCTGCAACAAGCCCGGCTGTCTCTTCAAGGGAGGCGCCACCAAAGGAGCGTGCAGTGGCGAGTCTGGCATCCTGAGCTACCGCGAGATCCAGCAGGTTATCAAAGTCAACAAGATCAAGCCCGTCCACGACAAGGAGGCCGGTGTCAAGTACATTACCTGGAACACTGACCAGTGGGTGTCGTTTGACGACAAGGAGACGTTCAAGCAGAAGAAGGACCTCGCGGCCAAGCTCGGCCTCGGAGGCTATCTGATCTGGGCCATCGACCAGGACGACGCCGAGATGTCTGCCCTGGCTGCCGTCCTGGACCCCAAGCCCTTGGGCGACTTCAAGTCGATCGACAAGGGTGACGAGAACTGGACGGGCACCAACGAGATGTGCTACGTTACGAGCTGCGGCGTTGAAGACTGCAAGCCGGGCGAGATCAAGATCACAGACCAGAAGTGCGGCAAGAACAAGAAGAGCACTCTCTGCTGTCCCTTGTCGGGAGCCCCTGACCCCAAGTCGTGCACCTGGCGCGGAGGCGCGACCAGGTGGTGCAACGGCTACTGCAAGGACGACGAGGTCATGACGCACATGAGCAAGTACGGCGGCGGCCACGACTGCTGGGACGGCCAAATGGCGCACTGCTGCGAGAGCTCCCTGGGCGAGAAGAACATCTGCAAGTGGCGCGGCGTCGGCGAAAAGTGCCACAGTGGCGAGCTGCCCCTGACCTTCTCCGGGACCGTCCTCGACATCCTCGACGACGTCGCCGAAATCATCTTGCGGGTTGTCGGTCGCGCGCACCCGCTCGCGGCCCTTACGGGTCTAGTCCTGCTCGAGGTTCTCGACGAGATGGATATCGACACCCAGAAGCTATACTGCTGCCCTGAAAAAGAGATTGCTAAGTGGAAGAACTGCGCCTGGTACGGGAAGCCCGGCAACTGCTTCGACGGCCACTGCCCGGACATGAAGACGGTGCAGATCACCGACTCGTACTTTGGCGGTAGCGACAATTGCGGCATTCACTTGTCCCGTGTCCGCACCTTCTGCTGCGAGTCGGACGGCGAGCCCCTTTTCCTGCCCGTGGACCTCAAGAACCTGTTTGAGCACCCGCCCGAGGGCGGCTCTGACACGGACTTCACCCTCGAGACGGACAAGACGTCGGACGGCGGCGACGATGACCCTAACGATGCCGCGTTCCCGTTCGTGGTCCTCGTCTCGCCCGAGGCGCTCCAGATCTCGCTCGACAAGCGCGACGGGTCCCACTGGGACGTCTTTGACTGCAACGACTCGGTCTCCGAGGGCGAGCACACGGTCCGCATGGTCTGCAACGACCACACCCCGGACAGCAACTGCCACAAGATTGGACTCGGCCACGGTGTCCCGGGGACTATTCTCCAGATGCCCAAGGGCTGTGGCCCAGGCAAGTATGCCGTCGCCAAGAGCATGGCACCGGCCCCTGGCAGTGACCACACCAAGCTCCTGCCCCGTCACCTGTCCCACCTCGCCGGCCTCGAGCCTGTCGTCTACGACTTGACTTTTGACTACGATTTCCACCGCGTGCCGCGCGACCTCGGCAACACCCAGATGCGCATCGACTACAGCAACCAGGACGACTACTGGAACAACATTGTCGCCGGGTCCGTCAGCCGGAAGCGAGACGTCCATGGTCGCAAGAGGTTCGCCAAGCGCACGCTTGAAGACGTCGGCGGGAACCCGGTGCGCTGGCTCGAGGAGGAATTCCGCGACGACTTCCACTTTGACAAGATTGCCTCGCGGGACCTGCACGAGCGGTGGTTCGGCAAGAGCATCCTCGAGTGGCTGGCGGCCCTCGTGAAACCCGAGATCAAGCGCGAGTTCACGCACAAGTACGACGACAGCGTCACGGCAAAGTTGTTTGACGAGTCGTGGGACTGCCCCGGATCGGTAGAGGGCGTCAACTACGACGGCCACCTGCTCGGCCAGGCCGTCCTCGACATCGAGGTCGAGTCTAGCTTCGGCTTCACCCTCATCGTCGAGAGTCTCACCCCGCCCCTCAACCTCGACCAGAGCTACCTGACCTTTTACAACAAGGGTAAGGTCACCGGTGTGGTCACCCTCGAGGCCCTCGCCCGCGTGACGTACGAGAAGAAGAAGGTCATTCTCAACTTGCCATTCCCCGGTGCCTCGTTCAAGATTCCCGGAATCGCCACCATAGGCCCCCAGCTCACTGTCGAGGGCAGCATCGATGCCTCCCTCGGCATGGCTGGCTTGATTGAGACCAAGCTTGAGATTGCCAAGTGGGAAGTGAGTAGCAAAGCCCCTGTTTCCAGCAACTAGCCCCTTTTTGCCTCTTTTTCTATCAATACCCACTAACACAACACTTGCTAACGACTCATGCTTCTTTCTAGGTCCGCCAAGTCATGCCCGACACCAATTCCTACAAGCCCGAGCTCATCGACAACAGCAAGCCAAGCCTCGATCGGACGGGCGACTTCTCGGGGATCCAAAAGCCTGAATTCTACGCAGGCGTCACAGCTTCCGGAGATGTCACCTTTAAGCTGTCGGCCGCTGCCGAGTTTGGCGTTCGCTTCGTCGACAAGTGGGAGATTGACCCGGCGGCCGCCGCAGTCGTGGGCGAGGTCAGCCTAACGACCAAGTTCGCAGCGGGGATCTCGACCACGGGAACGTGCCCCTTTACCTACGGTCTCGATGTCGGCGCTCGTTTGTTCGCGAGAGCAACGGCGCCCAAGATGTTTGGCTGGGCTGGTGGTGAGGTTGACCTGACGGACAAGTGGGAGAAGACCATCATCAAGGGCGGCACTTGTCCCGACCTAGGCCCGATACCTTCCAGGAGAAGTCGCCGAGGTCTCGACCACCTCCTCATCGAGGGCCGCGCCGAAGACAAGGACGTGACCAGAAACATGTCGAGGTTGGGAGCTGCCGGGCCCGGTGCCTACAGAGCCCTCGATGTGGAGTCCATGCACAGCTACGGCGCCAGCCTGCGCACGAGGCACATCTCCGGCGGGCACATGTCGTCCCTGGTCAAGAGAGGTGGTGTATACGGCCCAGCGTTCAGCCTCCCCGCCGGCGAGTTCTTCTGCCCTTCTCGAGACGGTGAAGAAGGCATCACGTGCGAGCAAGCATACGATGCCCTGGAAACGAGCAACGAGGGCGGCGCCTGGAGAGATGCGACCAAGCACAAGAGGGAGAAGCTGACGCCGACGTCCACCATTGATGAAAACGCCATCGCCGCACATTTCCATGCTCATCAGCAGCGAAGTGATGGCCATGGCGACCACGCAGGAGGCGAGATACTGCACATGTTTGACAAGAGAGCCAAGCCCAAGCTGGTCAAGGCCTGTAATCGAAATTGCGACATCTCGAACGACTTCCCCCCGGGCGGCCAGCTGAATGGCGATAATTGGGGCTGGGTCAATCCCGATGACTGCGGCAACTTTGACTTTGGCAGCCCCCTGACGGCACGCGCCGCCAACGTCGAGTATCACACGGAGCACGTCCTCGAGGCCCAGATGATCGACCTGTTCTTCAAGCACCTCGACAAGAAGAAGTCTAAGCTGCCCGACCCGAAGCCGAATGCGGCCCAGGGAGCCACCGTCTCCTTCTGTGACTATGTCGACGAGCTGTGGGATGTGCTCCCTTTCGTGTGGCCCGGCCAGGACACGACCGGCGGCGTCGGCAAGGCTTGGAACCCCATTATGCACATTGCGGCGCAGTACCCGACAAAGACGTTCAAGAGGTCCGAGTTTGTCGCCCTCGAGTCCGCCATCAACACGCCTTCCAAGACGAGACCCTGGGCATCCGCAAACCCGTGGGACTTTGACTCCTGGACCAAGGACCTTTCCAACTATGCAAAAGCCAAGGTGATTCTCCAGAAGATGCGCAGTACAATGGGCTCTCGCATCTACCAGAGCCACCCGACCATCAGGACAACCATGAAGACCCAGACGGAACGGATCGGCAAGGTGCTCGACGCCCTCGACTCGACCCTGCTGCCCGCCAACCAGCGCGCTGGATACCAGCAATGGTCGAAGCAGAACCTCGAGTCCGAGTGGCTCAGGTACATGAAGGGCCAGTACACCACCATGCAGTCCAAGACCAACGGCCTCGTCAATAATTTCCTTCCCAAGATGAACGCTGCGTGGGTCACGCAGGCACAGAAGGACAAGTGGAAGGACGCCGCGGCTGATACGCAGGCGGTGTTGGACGAGAAAAAGAAACATCGGGATTTCATAAAGTCCATTGAAGACTTTGAAACGAAATGGAATGGGCTACCCGCGTGGACGAACCCGCTCTAATGACGATGAAATCGCAGCAACAG